CCGAGAGGCTATCAGACTGCGGGCTTGGGATCCGCAGTCGAGGGAAGGGCTCGTGCCCAGCTCAGGCTGTTGCTTCTCTATGTCAGGGTGGCCCTGTCTAACTGCAGAGCATTTCAAACAGCAAGGCAAGTCAAGCTCCTCACACAGCTGCCTCTGGCACCCGGGCACCTTTCCAGAGCCGGTGAGGGGTGGAAGGCACCTGGCTCGTCTCTAGATTCCTGGGGCTCTGTAGGTGAAGCAACTTGCCCAAGGGCTATCGGGAACCCAGGCACGCCAGGACTCTTCCTGCACGCAGCATCACATTGGACTCTCCCCGCCCCTATCTTCAGCCTTAGGGAAACAGGTCAGAGTTAGGATCCTTTGCCTCTGTCACACTTGTCTGGACTGAGACTCGTCCAGATCTGGGATTTGGCAGGCCAGGCAGAGGACGGAACCTGAGGGGTCAGGCTTGCTTCCATCATCCCCCTGCCCTCCCCACCCTGCACCTCTTCTATCTGACACTTGACATTATATTCCCCATCACGCCCTCCCCGGGGAACGCCCTCCGCCTCCAGTTTCCATGGCAGCGCTCTCCCCCATCCTCCTCCTGCTCCTGGGCGGTGCTCACTCTCCTCAGAGGCTCCTGAACCTGGAAAGCAGAGGGATGCCCTGGCTGGGCCCCGACTCTCCTTCCCCACTGCTCCTGAAGCTCATCAGCCCTGCCCTCTCCATCTCCTGCTCTGACCTTGCACACAGTGCCGCTTTCAAATGGCAGATCACAGTGACCCAAGCACTCACTTCGGTGCTATCCCTGTGCACACTTAATCTACTATTTTAAAATTCATTTGGGGCAGGCGTTGGGACCACACAGTGCTCAGGATTTACTCCTGGCTGCTCTGCATTCTAGGATCACTCCTGGCATTTCTCAGGGGATCATATCTGGTGCCAGGGATCAAGCCCATGTCAGCTGCTTGCAAGGCAAATGTCTCATGGGCTGTACTATCTCTCTAGCCCCTATTTTAATGAATTTATTAAATCAATTTACTAATTTTGAGCCACACCAGTGGTGCTCAGAACTTACTCCTGGCTCTGTGCTCAGAGATCACTCCTGGTGGGCTTAGGGGATCGTATGGGTGGCCGGGAATTGAACCAGGGTAACTGCATGCAAGGCAAATGCCTTAACCCCTGTACTATCTCTTTGGCCCTCTCTATAAATTTTGACTCCTTATAGCCTCAGAATGAACCCATAACGTATGTCTACTCTCTAGACAGAGAAACTGAGGCACAGGGAAAGCTAAAATCTGATTCTGACCTTCATTACTATTTCTATTATAAGAGGAAATATTGGGGGACAGAGATAGTCCAGGAAGAAAGGCACTGCCTTGCATGTGGCTGGTCCCTGATCACAGATGGGTGTGGCCCAAAAACCCTCAAAAAATAGTAAGAGCTTATAAAACTATACAACATTGTAGGGACCAGGGAAATAACAAGTGGTAGAACACATGCCGTGTTTTAGGTCCTGGTTTCACTCCCCACCACCATGTAGTCCTGAGACCCTAAACACGGTTCGATGTGCCCCCCACCAGATAATTAAGAATAAATTGTAAGACATTTTGAAACCAGAGGCAAAAAAATCCCTCCTACCTATGAGAGAAAAATGGAAATTAGGGGAAACCAGACCTACTCCAATCTTGAGAGCCTTGTGATGATCTAGAATTACACTGTCAATTTGGAGCTTTAAAATGCATCATGTGCATTTTGAAATATGCAGGTTTGGAGGCTTCAGAAGGAACAAGAGTGCAGAGAAAATTGTCTTTCCCCTCAGAGTTTCCCATTTGGTTTAAAGTCTCCCCAAACTTCCTCCCTGGCTTCCAGTCACTGAAGCTCTTTTCCTTCACTGAGGCCTGGAATTCACTGGAAAGACCTGGGTTCTGCTCCCGCTGATGGGCTCCAAACTGCGGAGTGAGGGGCTGGACCTCGGCATCTCTGAAGGGGAATGCGGCCTCCCTGGGACATCAAGAGGCTCAGAAGGGAGCAAGTGCTTAATATTCCAGTGCTTGGCACGGAGCCTCGGCCGATGCCCAGATAAGCCCCAGACCCCAAAAACACACAACCCTTCTCTCTTGCCTCTCTTCTGCTTCATTTCTCATACCCGCTGTAGCTTTCACAGAGAAGGGCCAATGCTGAATTTCTGAATCCCAACCCCCAATGGGTCCAGCTGGCAACGTTCATTTTAGCACCCCGACCCAGGTGAGGCTCTGCGGGACCTCACCAGAGAAGGAGTGGGAGGCTGGCCTTGACGTTCGCAGAGCCCCTAGCTCCCTGAGTGCTCCTGCCATCAGCCCTCTCTGGTACAGTCTCCCGGAGAGAGGGAAAGGCTTTTGTTCCAAGGAAATGACTGTCAAAAGGAGACATACATTGTTCCTTTTTTTGTGTGTTGTTTGAGACAAAGACGTCAATTTCTTTCCCTCTGTCCCAAAAAGGGAAGAAAATTTAATTTGTTTTTACAAGGATGTCAGTGTGCTGCTTCCCTGGGGAGTCAGGGGTGCACAGTGAGATTGAGGCAGTACGGGTGAGGGGAAGGGAAGAGATGGAACCTGGACAGACACAGGCATCCAGGACCCCAGAACGCCCAGATAAAACACCAAGCCAGGGCTTCTACATCCGACACTGGGTGGGACTCGGTCCCCACTTCCCCCCACCCAAACCCCTTAGCAACTTGGAGGCAGCTACAGCAGGGTGCTGGGAGCACAGGAGTGGGACAGGAAAAGGAGAGGGGGCGCACCCTGCAGTTCTAGAAGTTTCTGTCCCCAGGTCCTTCAAAATCAGCTTCCTGTGCAAGCCTCAGCAGCTCTTTAGGACGACTGAGAGTTGGATATGGTCAAATATTGGGAGAGGGGACTTCTTGGAGGCTTTTTTTTTTATGAGAGGGTTTGGGGCCACACTGGACAGTGCTTAGGGGTTCTTCCTCGCTCTGCGCTCAGGCCTTGGCCCTGCGAATGCCCAGGAAACCATGTGGTGCTGGATATCAAATCAGAGTCAACTGCACACAAAGCAAGTGCTTTACCTCCTGCACACTCTCTCTGGCCCTTGGTGGTTCTCTTCAAGACCCAGGGCAGGAGGAGGTGGGCCAGTGCCCTCTGGCCAGTGACACTTATCCTCCAGGGGGCTAACAAGTGCACTCCTCTGCTTCCTGGTGCTGGGTCCCAGGAGTCAGGGCCCTGGGAACCACAGAATCCTCCACTAACCTCAACACAGAAGCCTGACCCCTCCAACCCCGCCCTATTGCCCAGTGTTAGAGGGGGCAGGCTTCTCTTTTGAGGTTAGTAGGCATTTGGGCGTGGAAGCTCAGGGACCTCCCTTGGGCCCCATTAGAGCTTTAGAACTCGGGGCTAGAACCCTCAGCGGAAGTTTCCCTATCTTGGAGACTCAACCCTGTCCCAATGCTCCTGGGACACAGTTCTAGAGACACTATAATACTGAGGTGCTCCTGTACATTCACTAAAAATGATTGTCAAAGAGAGAAAAAAGTAAAAGTCTCATTCATCCATGGCCCTTGTCTCCTTTTTTTTTTGGGGGGGGGGGTGTTAGTCCTCAAGGTCAGCTTAAGGATCATTCCCTGCAGTTTTCCTGATCTGACCCTGGCCTGCTGTGTGCCAAACTTGGGCTCCAACCCCCAACCCTCCCACTGAGCACCAGATCTCCTGTAAGGAAACTTCTCTACCACTGTGCGACTTCCTTGCGCTTTCCCTCAAATTCGAGTCCCATTCCTGGCACACAGGCCCTGTCTTGAGGCTATAATACACAGCTGTAGCCATGCTTCACTGCACTTTGGATCTTTTATTTGGTTTTTAATGTTTTCTTTTTGGTCACACCCGGCAGTGCTCAGGGTTTACTCCTATCTCAGTCCTCAGGGATTACTCCTCGAGGGCTCAGGGGACCATATGTGGGCTTGGAGACAGAGCCTCAGTCTGTGTGTGCAAGGCAAGCGCCCTATCCACTGTACCATCTTTCCAGCCAACTGTCCTTTATTGTTTTGTTTTGATTTTTTGGGCCCATACCTAGCAATGGGCTGGAGCAATAGCACAGCGGGTAGGGCATTTGCCTTGCACGCGACCGACCGACCAGGCTGACCAGTGTTTGATTCCTCCACCCCTCTTGGAGAGCCCCGCAAGCTACCAAGAGTATTTCGCCCACATGGCAAAGCCTGGCAAGCTACCCATGAAGTATTCGATATGCCAAACACAGTAACAACAAGTCTCGCAATAGAGACGTTACTGGGCCCGCTCGAGCAAATCGATGAACAACAGAGGACAGTGCTACAGTGCTACAATGCTACCCAGCAATGTTCCAGGGTAACTGCTGGTCCTGCACTGAGGAATCACTTCTCGCGGTACTTGGAAGACCATACGGGATGCTGGGATCGAACATGGATGGGCCATATGCAAGGCGAGCGCCCTACCAGCTCTCTCTCTTTTCAGGCCTGGCTGTCCTTTTGATCTTGTCCAGGAAGCGGGCCCCCCATCTCTTCACAGAGGCCCAATCTTGCAGCTCAATTTCTAAACTACTCCCCAGCTTCCTGGGTGCCAAGCTGTCGTCTGGTGCCAGGACTCAGGTTGGACCCCACTCCTGCAACCGGCTCCAGCTAGTCTCGGGGGTAGAGCTGGGCCTGGGTGGGGGCCCGTCCACCATGTGGAGACCACGTAGCTGGGTCTAGGTGAAGGGCCCACCTTCGCGCCCTACAGGAGTCACAGCTGTTCGGAACACCTAAGGCCTCGGACAGTGCCCTTGGTCCAGAGTCACTGGCCCAGAGTCCGGCCCGCTTCCAGACCAGGAGGACGAGGAGGTCTGTGCGTCTGCACGGTCCTACAGCGACATCTCAAGCCTGACCCTCCTCCGTGGCCCCGCCTCGCGGGACCCCGCCCCTCCTCGGTCTACCGCGTCATTGGTCCCGCTCCTCCTCGATCCCGCCCATTCACTGACCCCGCCCCATCCATGCCACGCCCCTCCTCGACTGGCCCCGCCCCGTCCGCGGCCCCGGGCTCCCGGACCCCGCTGCCGTGCGCGCTCAGGCGGCCGCGCCGCCGCCGGGGCCTTCGGATGGGCTGCAGGCGGTGACGCGCTCCCGGGCTGTGGTTTCGCGCGCGCGGCTGAAGCTGCCGGGTTGCGCGCGACCGCAGGGCCGGCGGCAGAGCTGGCGGAAGCAGCGCTTGAAGTTCTCGTCGAGGAAGGCGTAGAGCACGGGGTTGAGGCTGCTGTTGGCGTAGCCGAGCGCAATGCACAGGTGCAGCGCGGCCACCACGAACGGGTCGCGGCGGTCAATGTCCACCAGGGTCCAGACGATGACGAAGATGTGGATGGGTGCCCAGCACACCACGAAGGCGCCCACGACCACCAGCACCATGCGCGTGATGCGCCGCAGGCTGCGGTCCTTCTCCTTGGAGCCCGACAGCAGGCGCACGGTGCGCAGGCGCAGCAGCATGAGGCCGTAGCACACGCTGATGATGAGGATGGGCACCACGAAGGCGAAGAGGAACACGCAGATCTTGGTGACCGTGTCCCAGTACCAGCTGGGGCTGGGGAACTGGAGCATGCACACCACAGCGCCGTCTGGGGCGGGGGGCGGAAACAAGCAAAGACAGGTGGTGAGGGGCAGTGTGGCTGCCGAGGTTACCTACCCTCCCACCCCAAATCCCTTCCCCGGCCTTTGTCAGGTCCCGCCTCTTCCTCTCTGGGTTTGCTCAAGCGGACTTTTCCACCGGGATTGTCCTTCTTGGTTTCTGCAATTGATGAAATCCTACTTTCCCGAACGCCCCAGCAGGAGCGACCCTAATCTAGGAGGTCTCCCTTCTCTCTGTCCTCCCAGTCACTTCATAAATTCCCATGTCCATGGATGACAGGAATGAGATAATTTAACCCAAACCCACTGTCAGTCGTTACAGTCAGACTCCCTGCACGTTTCCAGACAAGCTCCAGTGGCAACAATACAACAAAGATTGACTTATTACAAGGTCCTACTATGTTCTCTGACCTTGGGCAATTTATTCTGCTTCTATGAGAGCTGCTGTAAAATGGGACTAGGAACAACAGCTGACTTTCAGGGGTGGATGTGAAGATTTAATGGGCTAATCAGTCATTTTGCACACTGGCCTGGAAGCCCCTGCACTCCAGGGCACAGGGCAGACCCCTGCGGGAATGCAGAGGTCTGGGCCAGGACCACCCTGGCGGCTCATGGCTGCATGCAAGAACTGTCTGGCTGCCAGGCCAGAGCTCAGCGGGGCATTCATGATGGAATGAGCTTGACCACTTCTTAGAGGATGTGGAATCAGACACTGGCTGAATCCTGAGCTTGGCCTCTGGGAATCCCAAGATTAGAATTCTGGCTCTTGAAGGACCTCCCAGGAAACATGAGACAGGAGGATGAGAGAGGGCACTGGGACCCAGAGAGTGGATCTGCAGGATATCAGGCTGGCAGGCCTCTGGGAACTGGTTCAGTCCAATGACTTCATTGTATAGATGGGAGAACCAGGCCTTAGAGGAACAGATCTTGTCCAAAATCACAGAGAACCAATAGTGCTGCAGACACACCTGGGAGAGGACGTGTGTGTGTGTGTGTGTGTGTGTGTGTGTGTGTGTGTGTTGAGTAGGCTCCAGCAGGGCTGCAGTTAATGGCCCATGAACAGACAGCTGACAATGAGGAATGGGGCTCAGCTGCTGAGTCAAAGCCAATAATCAGTATTGGGGCTCTCTGCTTCAAAGGGTCAAGTATGACCAAGAAGCTTCCCAGCAACCCTGTTTCCCTCTCCCACCTCCCAGCCTCCACAAACCTCCTATTCAGTGGCTACTGGTGCACCGGGAGCCTTGGGTTCTAAGCCACGTTTCATCTAATGACCAATAGTGTAACCTTAAGTCAACCACCAAGCCTCTCTGAGTCTTGGTTTTCTGAAAGCAAAGGAGGAAGGAGTCTGTGCCTTTATCCCACAGGTTTCATCAATAAAAGCTACTGTTTAGTGAGTCTTGGCTCTGAGTCAGTCCTTGTGCTAAGTGTTTTACGCATTTCATCTTCTCAACACCCCACAATATAATGTGGCTCCGATAGGTTAATTGGTGACCTGTGTCTTTCAGCTTGCTAAATGATTTTCCTTACATCCCTATGCAAGATGAAGCCACAAGAGTAGTGATTACCAGGGAAAAAAAAGGGCTGTTCCATTAAAAGCATTGGTGCTTTCTCACTGCTTCCCCTACAGAGTCACCTGCTGGCCAGCTGTCACAGTGAAGGACTCCAAAGCAGTGTTTAGAACGAGGTCCTTGTATGAATGTGTGGAATAGCACTTGGCTTCCTCTTATACTGGGCTGTGATGTGCGTGTAAAGACACCGAGCTTTGGAGACTGCCAGCTACAAGTTCCCTAATGAACTCAGGAACTTATTCTAATAATTACCACTTCACTCTAAAGACAGTGACCATTTAGCAGAGGAAATGCGCCTGCATTCCCTGTAAGGCATTCTCTAGATTCCCATTACTCAAATGGGGATCAGGTGACCTCCTGTGCACCTCTAGGAGATTCCAAAGAGCCACAGGTGAAATTGAATCAATATCAACAGGGAGAGGAGTCACAGCACGAGATGATAGGGCCAACTGGTAGGACAAGGGGGGGTTACAGGAAGGAAACAAGATTGGAAAGGGACCACAGCTGGGAAAAGGTTGAGAAATGCTACTCTAGGCTATGGACTTTGGCATTCACAGTCCCTGGTTTTCAAGCTGGGTAGAAAAGGGTGTGGGATGGGGCTACAAGTACTATGGTCTTCATGGATTACTGATCGTGACCCCTCACATCACTGGCCATCCATCCCTCTTGCTTTGTGTTAGTCATCCACATGCTACTGGCCAGCTGCATCTTTAATTCAACGTTCTTACAATGCATCCGTAGATGTCTTTGACCCAGCAATTTATAGGAAAAAGTTTTCTACTCCTTGGCTACCCATAATCCCATGACCAGCCATCTACTGTCATTGACCAGCCATCTGCATGTTCACTGGCATATTATCAACACCCACCCTGGCAGTGGCCTGTAAATGCAGAACCACATGCTTCCTACTATAGCGAGTGACCAGCGCCCAGACTGCCCTGGGAACTCACCCCGGTGTCGGGTCACAGCCATGACCATGATGGGTACGCCAACCCCAGAGGCCAGGACCCAGATGCAGATGTTGATCAGTTTGGCCTTGGCAGGGGTGCGGAAGTCCAGGGCCTTGACTGGATGGCAGACAGCAATGTAGCGGTCAACACTCATCATGGTGAGTGTGAAGATGCTGGTGAACATATTGTAGTAGTCAATGGAGAGCACAGCCTTGCAGAGAAATTCCCCGAAAGGCCATGTCTGCATCAGGTACTTGGCACTTTGGAAAGGGAGCGTGCTGGTGGCTAATGCATCGGCCAGGGCCAGATTGAAGATGTAGATATTGGTGGCTGTCTTCATCTTAGTGTACCTTAAAAGGAAGCACATGAAAAAATTGTTGCGTTTTGCAGAGTTCAGTTTCACAGGAGACTCAGGGAGGTGAAATGATTTAGCCAAGGTCACATAAAAGGGGAAGCAGAGGTGGAGCTAGAATTCTGTACTATCCAATTCAGCTTCATTCCTTTATACTCTGTCTTTGGTATAAGGGAGCTTAGGGAAGTCATCTTCTGAGAATGATACACTTCGAGAAAAACAGTATGGTGAAAGAAGAAAACTGTTGCTGGAGAAAGAGCACAGGGGTTCTGTGTGTGTGTTTGGGGGGCACACTCAATGATGCTCAGAAGTTACCCCTGGCTCTGTACTCAGGAATCACTCCTGGTGGGCTTGGGGGGATCCTATGGGATTCCAGGGATCGAACCAGGATCGGCAAGGCAAGCACCCTACCTGATGTACTATGGCTCCAGCCCCAAGGGTTGTTTTTTTTTTTAAACGTGGTCAATCCTGGTTTGAATCCCCAGCATTACATCTGGTCCCTGAGCACCACCAGGAATCATTCCTGAGCACAGAGCACAGGGCAAATGGCAGAACCAAGGGAGAACTTAAACCCCTGCCTCCCAGCCCAGTGCTCTCGAAACTCCTCTGCCAGGGTAAGACCTCTAGAACCCTCCATCCTCCACACATCATCCATCCCGGCACACAGGACAAATGTTGTCTCTGGATTCCAAATGAATGACCAGCAAAGGGCGTATGTTCAAGAGGTGACTGGTTTCTTCAGTTCAAAAAAAAGAAAGGACTCGCTCACTGTCCTCTAGGCCCGCATCTGTCCTGCTCCCTCCCAGAATAGCTGTCATTTGCCCCGGGGTTGGGAAGTTTTGCTGGGAGACAGCAGAATTGCACGTCTCTGGTCTCGGGAAGTCTGTCTTCAGCGGGCTGCGGTTGCGAGTTGCCGGATCCCAGCTGTGTGGGAGGCGGTCTCAACCCCACAGCTGACTCGGCTCATTTCACTTCTTTTTACTCTGAACAATTAGAGGCTGTTCTTTGCCTGCTATTTTGATTTGTAAAGGATCCTTCCATTCCGGAGAGGACTAGGGAGTGCTGGGAAGGAGGTGATGAAGCTGCCGTGAGTCCAAGCAGGACGGAGAGGTACAGTTCTGCCAGACTGGGCGTGGGGCTCCTTTCCACACACAGTTCCCCTCAGCTCACCCACGCTTAGCCCTGGCTGTCCTATGGGTCTACTCACACGTGTCATGTTGTTTGCCTGCTCTCACTTCCCAAAGTCTCCCACAGGCCACAAAGATCCCCACTTGCTCCCTGGGTCTCTCAGGCATCTGATTCCAGAACCTTCCTCTTGACAGATATGTGCTCCCCATACACAGGCTCTGTTATTCCCTGGCCAGCCTGTCCCCACCTTAGGGCCGCTCCGTGGCAGCTCTGTCCCAGTGTGGCATGGCTTGCTCTTTCACTTAATTCAGGACTCAATGTAAATGCTACTTCCTCAGAGAGGTGACACCCAATCTACAGGACCCCTCTCCCCAGCTTCACTTCCGTCTCCTTACACTGCCTTTTGAGGGGGATGGGGGTGAAGACTTGGGGGTCACACCCAGTAGTACTCAGGGGCTATTTCCAGCTCCGTGCTCTGGAGAGATTTCAGGCAATGCTCAATGGATCATGGTGCTGGGGGCTCAAGCCAGGGTCAACAGAATGCACAACGAACACCTGACCTATTGCTGAAGGCAGAGGACATTGGTCACTCTATTTGGGAGGGGGGGGCAGAGGTCACACCTGGTGAAGCTTGGGGCTATTCTCAGTTCTCAGGGGATCCTGCAGGGCTGGGACTCAGAAACCAGCTCTCACTGCTCCTCTGGCCCACTGTGTCCAGTCTGTGTTCCTGCCCCCTCGGGCCTGCCAACAATGAACTGCACAGACATTCACTGAATGAATGCTGTAGTCCAGGCCTCACCATCAGTTCCACGGAGAACCATCCAAGGAGCTTCTCCCAGCAGCTTATCATCCAGTTAGTCAGGGTACTCCCAATAAAAGACACGTTTGCTCAGGACGTTCCAGGGTGCACAACCTTCTACTCCCCACTGTCTCCTGAATAAAACCTGACTCCTCAGACTGACATTCCATCCATCTGGCTTCTGCCTGCATGTCTTCCCATGTCCAGTCTATCTGAACTTCCTCAGACATTCAGTTTGAATGCCTGCCCTCTGAAGACACTGGAAAGATTTGGTCAGAATCGTAGCTAACCATGTCTCCATATCCAGCTTTGTCTGAAATGTTCTCCCTGCCAATGGAATAGGACTGCACAGTTTAAGGCTCCATGGAGAGGGGGCTGGAACGATAGTACAGCACTTAGGGTGTTTGCCTTTCATGAAGCCGACCCAAGAGTAAGTCCTGAGCTTGAGCACCACTTGGTACAGCTAAAAAACAAAATAATTAAAAATAGAAGCCATAATATAAGTTCATTAACGGACATGATCCAAAGACTCACAAATAAACCTCAGAAAAGAGCAACACACTTCAGAGCTGCCTCCTCACCTCGTGACAAACTGACTTCATCCAGGGTCCTTGGAGCAGAGCAGATGAGTCCCTCTGCCTGCCCCAGAAGAGCCACAGCAGCCCAAAACCTCCAAAACCCAGTCGCTGCCATGCTCGCAGCCGATCTTCACAGATTCAGGATGAGCCCTCATGAACAAGAATGAATCTGCTGAAAAACCCGGGTACGCGGGTTTTGTGACTGAAATCTCCAGAATCGCATGGGGTCAGGAATGGCCCCCCTCCTCCCATCTCCCTGTGCTTTCAGTAGCCTGGCAGTCATGCCCAGGAACAGCTTCTGGGTGCCATATAAGCTCATTAATGGCCATGATCCAGAGACTCGCAAATAAATCTCAGAACAGAGCAACATTCTACAGAGATGCCAAAATCACCATTTAGTTAAACACTTAACTCCAGCTCTATCACCTTATTTAAAATTTCAGAATTCCTGGAAAATCCTCATACTTTATGCCACTGATGTACCAAGACCACATTTGATAGGGTGTAGAGCAGAATTCAACTCATCTTGATTAAAAATATATACATGTATACATAGATATGTATATATTTATATGATAGCACACATGGCTCAACCTGTAACAACATGTTAGTGATCTCTTATACACGAACTTAATGGCTCCAAGATGAGATACAATTACCTTTCAAAGGAAAAATACACTTTCCTTTAAGAAAAGCTTTTTGGATCTTTTTTAGTGGTTTATTCATAACAAGCAATACAAAATAAATTATTTAGCATCTGCCTTTGGGGCACGTTTGGGTGGTGGTGGGAAAATTCAAAATAATGATAGTAGAAAGGTGTAATGGTGGTTGGATTACTGTTGAAATATTGAATGTAATAAATTATTGTAAACAAAGTTATAAAAATAGAATTTTTAAAAAAGGGGCTGGAAGAGTTATACAGTGGGTAAGGTGCTTCCCTTGGGGACACCCAGCCCTGCTTCAATCCCAGTATCCCATATGGTCCCCAGAACACCACGAGGAATGATTCCTGAGTGCAGAGCCAGGAGTGATCCTTGAGTGTAGAGCTGGGACTAATGTCTGACCACCACTAGGTGTGAGCCTGGCAAGCTACCCGTGATGTATTCGATATGCCAAACACAGTAACAACAAAATCTCCAATGGAGACATTACTGGGCCCGCTCGAGCAAATCGATCCAAATACCAAATAATAATAAGAAGAAGAACAACAACAAATAAAGCACCATGGAGTGACCTAGTGGAAATGGCAGCCCCTGCGCTCCCCTTCCTCCCTCCCTCCCCTGCCTACTTCCCCAAGGCAGCCATTTCTCGTGTTTGAAGCTTCTAATATTATCTCCATAGTTCTAACTAAGCTGAAGTGCTATTTCTTGATTTACCAATTTCACAGTGTCTCTTGAAGTCTGCATTCAGTGAAGCCAGGCTCTGGGGCTATAACAGTCCCAAATCTCAGCGGTGCCAATCCCTAATCTCCATGCTTTATCACAATAAAGCTCTCCTTGTCTCCCTTGCCAAGGCTATTCGGAGTCCCTGGGAAGCAACTCCAGCCTGCTTCCAACTGGGGGCTCTGCTCTTTCCCTGACTGAGGCTTCCAGATCACCACTAAGGGAGAAGAAATAGCCAGAAGGTCAGTTTAGCACTTTCTCCTGCACCTGATGACCTCAGCCAGTCGTGGGGCCCCATTGGGTGGGGCTCAGGAGACCATATGGTATACAGGAAGCTGTGAGGCTGGGGGGATGGGGGACTTGATATCACTGACCACTAGCAACATTCCCCACAACTTCATACTATGGTAGAGGAAGATGAACTCTGTGTGTGTGTGTGTGTGTGTGTGTGTGTGTGTGTGTGTGTGTGTGTCTTTTTGGGTCACACTCAGTGAAGCACAGGAATTACTCCTGGCTCTGCACTCAGGAATTACCCCTGGCGGTGCTCAGGGGACCATATGAGCTGCTGAGAATCGAACCCGGGTCGGACGCATGCAAGGCAAACGTTCTACCCACTGTGTCATTGCTCCAACCCTGGAAGATGAACTCTTATACCACCCAGTTCCCTCTTTCCAGCCTCCCAATATGGTTCCACGGTCCACGGTCCTCCCGTTGTTCATCAATTCGCTCAAGCGGGCCCAGTAACGTCTTCATCATGAGACTTCTGGTTACTGTGTCTGGCATATCGAATACGTCACGGGTAGCTTGCCAGGCTCTGCCGTGCGGGCGAGATACTCTCGGTAGCTTGCCGGGCTCTCTGAGAGGGGCAGAGGAATCGAACTCGGGTTGGCCATGTTGGCCGCTTGTAAGGCAAATGCCCTACCGCTGTGCTATCGCTCCAGCCCCTCCAATATGGTTAGTGCACAATACACAATCTGGGGGTTAAATTCATATTTAGGATTTGTTTAAGGTGTTTACATTCTTAGGACTTAACAAATACTCTTCACTGCTAAGCCACAGTGGTATGCTATAATTACATGTATTTCCAAGTACAGATTTGATTTTCCCTGAA